TTGAGATAGCTTATCGTGTCGAAGTTTGCATTCTTAACTATGTTTTTTAATGAAATAAAAACTATTTTTTCATTTGTTGGCATTGTTTTACAACTTGGTTACTAATGTTATTCCTCAATGTTGATTTATGTGTGAAATTAGTTTGCCTTTTTTTTTTTTTTTTGGATGAGTTTCTTACAAACTATGCTATTTAATTTCCTATGTTTGGTAATGCCAACACTAGAGCTCCACACAACACTATTTTTTATTACTCAAAAGCTTTTTGAGTTTGTTCATTTTAATGAAAATTATTCTTCTTTAAGAGAATAGCAAAATATTTACTAATTAAACCATAATTACGAATGAACTTTCTATAATATCCTGCTAGCCCCCTCAATTCCTCGGATTGAGGAATTGGCTACCGGCTCACGACTTCAGGCTTGGTTGGGTCTATTACTATCCTTACTCTAGAGATAATGTGGCCTAGATATTCCACTGAAGTTTGATAGAAGGTACACTTTGACTTTTTTTACAAATAACTTGTTTCTCAACATGACATCCAACACCCTAATAAGGTTTTTTATGCAAGCCTCCAAGGTAGGATCTGTAAATGAGGATATCATCAAAGAAAACTAGGATAAATTTCCTTAAGTATGGTTTTAACACTAAGTTCATCATGGTTTAAAATGAAATTGGAGCATTAGTCAACTCCGAATGTTATCACTTTAAAGTCATAATGTCCTTAGTAAGTTCCGAATGTTGTCTTTTCAATATCTACCTCATTTATTCGAACTTGGTGGTATATAGACCTTTGGTCTATTTTGGAGAATAAATTTGACCATTATAGCTCATCTAACAAATCATCAATAAGAGGTATTGGAAATTTATTTTTGATGGTTAGGTTATTGACCTACTAATAGTCTACATAGAATCTTCAAGTCTTAGCTTTTTCTTGACCAACGGTATAGGAGATGCAAAAGGGTTGCAACTTGGTTGAATTATCCCATTCTACAACATATCATTCACTAACCTTTCAATTTCTTCCTTATGCATATGAGAAGTTCTATAAAGCCCGATATTCATCGGCTAAAATATAGAAAATAATAAATTTTATGGTCAAACTTCCTTATTGGTGGTAAGGCTTTAGGTTCGACAAACACCTCATCATACTTAAGCAATAAGGCTTTTATCTCATTGTTGATCACTTTTTTGGTGTAGCACTAGTTGTGTTAGAAAAAATTTGCCCAACTAAACCAAAGACTATCGACTTTAGTGATTTATACACCTTGTATACTATGATAAGCTACAATTTAGCTTCTTTGATCACTTCCTTCAATTCAATCATTCGGCCACCCTTTTTAAAGGATAATTTTATATTAATGAAGTAAAACGATATAGAAGAATACATTCACAACCACTCTACACCTAACACCATGTCATAACCCCCTAATTCTAGGACTCTCAAATCAATCATGAATTCATGTCTCTACATGAAATACACTAGCCTTAGACTTTGGCATGACACTTCATACATTCGCCATTAGCTATTGTCATAAAAAGTGTAGTAGTTTCTTTATTCACAACCTTGATGTCTTTTACCACCCGAGAGATTGATGAAACTAGATGTGCTTCCACTATCACCTAGGATGATAATCTTTTTGTTATTATAACATTCTTTAATTTTAATAGTATTGTGATCATATTTCCCTATTAGAGCATACGAGAGATAATCCAAATTCCTCATAGTTCTTCTCATCTAGTAATCCATCTTTCTCATTTCCTTCCGCTATATCCACGAATCCATCATCCTCTCTTTTCACATCTTCTATCAAGGCTTTTCTTACACATTGATGTCCAAGAATGTATTTCTCCCTACATTTAAAACAAAGTCTCAATCTCCTCCTATGATCTTGCAAAGTCTATATTTAAGGTTTTTATAGGCTAGTATTGATAGGTTTAAGTCTGGTTAGTTTTTCATTTCTAGTAAAAGTAGTGTACGGTTTGTGGAATGGGTTGGTATTTAGCTTATTGGTATTATAGATAGGATATATTTTGGTGCTATTATAAGCTAGAAAGGTTCTTTGTTGAATTCTATTTTTTTTTATCCATGGCATCCACGAGACTCTTTTTGCCATTTAGCTTGGTCAAATGCTTATATCAAAGTTACAAGCTATAAGATCTTTAACATAGGTTTGATGTCTTTCTTGAGTCCACTAATGAAGTTAGACACAAAGCAAGACTCAGAAAATTATGAATTATTGACGAGTCATTAGAGGTTTAAGCTCTTTAAACTTCTACACATACTTGCTCCACTTTTTATTTTTGTTTAATTTTATTGAACTCTTCACTACATCCTCCCGGTTACCAAACCTTCTACAAATCTCTCCCATAAATTCCCTTAAGTTTCCTAGATCATTTTTTTTTTTATCATAAATCCTTCAAATTAGATTTTAGCTCTTCATTTTAAATGAATGGAAGCAAATTCCACCCACCGATGAACATGAATGAAGTTCATCTTAAAATACTTATTACATTTATAAATCTAGCCCATAAGTTTTTCTCCCCCAAACAAATGTTAATATTATTAGGTTTAAGTTGGTTAGTGTTTTCATTTCTAGTAAAAACGAGTGTAAGGTTTGTGACTATGGATTGGTATTTGGCTTATTGATATTGTAGATAGGATATGTTTTGGTGTTGTTATAAACTAAAAAGGTTCTATATGGAATTCTAGATTTTTTAACCTTGGCATTCATAGACTCCTCTTGATATCTAGCTCGATCAAATACATGTATCAAAGTTGCAAGTTATAGGATCTTAACATAGGTTTGATGTCTTCTTTAGGTCCACTAATGAAGCTAGACACAAAATAAGACTTAGGCAAATATGAATTGTTGGCAATCATTAAAGACTTGAGGTCTTCAAACTTCCCCACATACTACTCTACTTCTTGTTCTTGTTGAAGTTTATTGAACTCCTTCACTACATCCTCTTTGCTACCAAACCTTCTACAAATCTCTTCCATAAATTCCTACTAGTTTCATAGATCGCTTTTGATCTCAAATCCTTCAAATCGAATTTTGACTCTTCATTCCAACTATATGAAAGCAATTTTCACCCATTGATGAACATGAATGAAGTTCATTTTGAAATACTTATTACATTTACGAATCCATCCCCTATGATTTTTCCCCCAAATAGATGTAAATCTATCCTAGGTATTAAAGAATTGTAGCCAAACTTCACAAACTCGGGAGTTAATAAAGGCTCACAATGATGAGCTTGATGGACTTGTTTTATGGTTGCATTTCCACCATATGAGGAACTGGAAGATGTTCGTTGTTCTTTCTTGACTTCCTTTTCAATCATTAATGATTGAATCAACTTTATTAGATATTCTAATTGAAGCAGTGTTTGTTGATGTTGCTCTTACATTCGTTTTTTCATGGCTTTGACACTTTCTTGAAATTCTTGATGCATGTTTTGCATATGCTCTTCTTGCTTTTTATTATGCTCTTCTAAAGCTCGATTCTATTGTTATCCACCATGATTAGTCCCGGTTTGCTCTAATATCAATTTGTAAAAAGTTTTTTTCTTAAAGACTTCTAAGAAAAATTTAAGGAGAAGAAGAAGAAGTACATGTTTTAAGAGAAAAGTCCGAACTAAAGTCTTTTCTTTACAATTGAAAATGAATGAAATCAAATATTCATGCTTAACCTATTTATTGTAACTAACCTACAAATCTAATTAACATGTCACCTCATCGGTTTAGTTATCGTAAACTACCACATCATTCAAGACTAATGACGACTGATTATCATGCAAACTAACAACTCCAATTGACAATTAATTCCCAACACAATTCATTTACATGATCTCTCAATATTTTGTGAAAATTATACTCACTTATTTCATCGATTCTATATTGACACTATGGAAGGCTATAGCCAGTATGGATCATAGTTTTAATTGATGGTAATTACAACATCACATAAAGGAGATTTTCATATCGATTACAATTTCTTGGCATTCAAGCAAGAAATTTTTGATTATTTAGAATTTGAAAAAAATTGGTTAAATAAAAAATAGGGTCAAAGATCCGAAAAATATTAATCAAATACTCACTTTTTTCCATCTTTGGACATTTAAAAAAAAAATCAATCACAAGAGATTTTAAAAGTAGTACGTATGGTAGATTCATGTTTCCAATCCCAAAATCAAGTTAATGTTTTCTTTAGGATTCTTAAGGGAAAATATGGAATTAAATTAAGTATGTTTAAGTTGAAGGACCTCAAAGTAAGTTCGCCCTCTAAAATAAAAATCACATGCCTTTACCGAGAACTCGTATTCTTTACTATAAAAAAACAACACACGAGACAAATCATGATGAGGAATTTATCCAAACCAAAACAAGGATATCATTGACATCGATTTTCTCGCTATAATCTTGATCTTAGAACGACTCTTATCTCTATTTCCCTATTATAATTATCCAATTAATTACCGTCGGTAAATCTAAAAGCTTTCAACTTTCATCAAATCAATAACGAAAATCTAATCAAAGCCTTCAATAAATTCTCGCTCCTCTCGTATTTTTGCTTCTCCTCCATATCCCACCTCCGATTGAATGCTCGCCGAGATCGAACCGAGGAAAATTGCAACGAAAGATCACAAAACATTCCTTTTTCTCATATAATCTTAAATCATTTAATTTAAACTATCTAATAAGGTTAGGGATATAACCCTTCGAATTGAGATTTTTGCCATTAATATATGTGTGTACACTTAATTGAAATCATTGAAGAAAGCCTTAAACAAAAAGACGACTTCTCCGATACTCTTCATTTCCCTATAATCCTTTTCCCTTAATTATAATATCATCGTTAAGTCTTTCGGGAAATCCAATGATTAGGGACGCTCTTTCTGCCTGCAATTAATTGAAGAACTCAAGATTTTAATGGAAGATTAGCTTCGAAGGTGAAGAAGGAGGAGAGATAGACATATTTAGCAATTTACCTAATGACATTTTTCATCACATCTTTTCCTCCTTTGACACCAAATTCATAGTCCGTATCTTCATGCTCTCCTAGAGATGGACCTCCCTCCGTACTTCGGTCTTGATGCCAACTTCGACAGCCGCATCCTTTGACGACCTCACTTCTTTCGAGAATTTCGTGCTTGTTGTTCTTCCACGACACCCTTCGACTCTAAGATATGCAAGTTAAGCTTTTCTACCGAAAAAAAGAAAAAGAAGAATGAAAAATCTCTAAAGAATACCGTTATTGATTATGCTTGATGTCATGATCTTGAACGACTTATCATTAAAACGAGATATCGGTGTCACATATTCTTTTATCCTAAACATTTGGTCCGTCGGTGGCCTTAATACTCTCCACTTAAATTTGAGATTAATAGTAAATTTTGCTCTCATTCTATTACCATTTGACAATTTTAGATACACGAGTATCAAATTACATAATTTGCATATCAAAATATTGAAGATTAGACAAATATGATTCAAATTATCCAATCTTCGTTAAGTGTAATGATCAATTACGTTAGCTATTATTTGAAATGCTAAAACAACGTTGTTTTAATATTCTACTCGTTAATTATTATTGTTTTTTTAAAATATTTTTTAACCTACTAGTCTTGAATTTCTGGAATTTTTTAAAACCTTTTGTTCTTATAAAATATTATAAATATTTTATAAATTATATATAAAAATACTTTATAAATATTTTTAACCCTCCTAATTTTGATTTTTTTTATAAAATATTATAAAAATTTTATATTTTTTTTATAATTTAAAAAATTAGGGAGGTCAACCCTTAATTATACTCATTTTATTTTATAAAATATTTTTTTAATGCTTGAAATTGTGTATTGTTAATTATGTTTTTTTTTTACAATAACATTTTATAAAAAAAGTTTAAAATTAGGGGGTTAAAATTATTTATACTTTTTTATGTAATTTATAAAATGTTTATAATATTTTATAAGAAAAAAGTTAAAAAAATGATCAAGTTTAGGGCATTAAAAATATTTTTAAAATATTTTTTAAGAAAACATAATTAATTACGGAATGTCAAAACTACATCGTTTTGACATTTCAAGTAACGACAAATCTAATTGGTCATTACACATAATCAAAATTAGACAATTTGAATCACATTTTTACAATCTCCAATATTTTGAAATCCAAATTATGCAATTTAATATTATTGGTTTAAAATTATCAAATTATAATAGAATGAAATCAAAATTTATCATTAAACCCTTAATTTTGATATGATTCAAGTTTTATGATGAATGATTTTTTAAAATATATATTATTTGTTTAGGATTTATTTGTAAGGGTTGAGGTCCAATAAGTGCTTTAGACTTCAAATTGTTGGATTTTTGTTTTTTTTTTCAAAGTCTTCTCTTGTTTGTTTTGCTAGCTATCTGGTCCTAGACGGTGACACCCAATATATTTGCCGCCATCTTTGTGATAAGGATGATATTTTCTTGAACTTCTTCGTGTGGTTTCTTTGGAGCACCTCTTAATTAACCTTTTTGTTGTCAATCAATAGTATAATTAATCTAGTTTTATTATATTTTCATGTCCATGCAATAAACCTAAAACTAATTAGATAATTGATAAAAAAAATCATTCATTCATATATCCATGTTTCATAATAGAATTGCTGATCTTATATTACACATTAAGAAATATAAATGATGAAATTTTCGTGTGTCAACCCCAACTTTAGTGTGGCCGTTGCGATACGAAACCCAACATGCTAAATTGCAAGTTGGTTTGATCAAATTGACTCTAATTACTATAACTAATCTACTAAAAGCCTCAAAACAAATTTCATCATTGACGTTATGTGTAGAATTTTCGTTTTAAGGCTGACCGTTTTTAACAGATGAGGCGAATCCTCTCAGTCGTATCGGTGCTTGGTTTCTATTCTTGGCTAAGCTGGGGTTAGAGTTAATTAATGTAATCAACGAATATCGCATTTAAATTATATATATATAAACTGGGTCCTCAAAGTCATTCCGACATGTACTTATGAACGACACGTCGCGAGAGCAACAAGTACTACTACAAATTAAGCTGAAGCAGACGTCTTTCAGAATCAGAAGTCTGATAACCTGAATTCTGATCTGATGGGACAGTTCCCCCTCCTCCATTCGCTTGCTACTCTACTGCCAACAAGCCAGAAGAAGACCTTCAATTTTCATCAGTTCTGAACTGGTTTGGAATCTAAATGCACCGTGATTCTACTTCTCTTTCAACCACTTTCGGAACTGTTCTCTCCCTCTCCTCAGGTGGCTATTGCTGCCAGAATTGAGAAACCGCATTGTCAATGGAAGAGCGAACGGCAAAGAAGAGAAATAAATTGACCTCTGAAGGGATAGACAAATTAAGGGATTTACCTGACGACCTTCTCCACTACATCTTTTCCTTCCTAGACACCAAAAACGCAGTCCTAACCTCAGCTCTTTCCAAGAGATGGAGATTCTTCTGGAATTCTGTCCCTCACCTTAACTTTGACAGAGAATCCTTTGATGAATTCACTTCTTTCAAGAATTTCGTGCTTACTGTCTTGCAACAACGGCAACATGATTCAAAGATATGCAGGTTTCTCTTAACCTCGAGAAACAACGTTGATAGATCTTTCATGAATCAAGTTATCGATTATGCATTATCTCATAATGCTGATCATCTTTTTTTATTAGACCCTGGGTGTCAATGCAGATCCCATCCACTTATCACATGCAGAAGATTCTACTTTTCTGAATCATTTGGTATCACAGCACTCACCACTTTGCATCTGGAACACTGCTACTTTTCCGATGGTAGTAAGAGGACTGGATGCTTCGATTTTTTGGCAAGTTTTCCTAATTTGATCAACTTATGTCTCATCTATTGTGCTTTTGGAATGTTTGATGTTTTGAAACTATCGGGACCCCGACTAGCTAACCTGACTCTGGAATATGTGTGTGGTAATAAGCTGGAAATTTTGGCACCAAAGCTTACATTTTTCAAGTTTATACACTACTATTCGGATTTGTCAGTGACCCACCTCCCTTCTCTAGAGCACGCGAATGTCGATATTTATAAGCCATATGCAAATCCAAAGAAGATAAAGGCTTGGTATTCCAATTTTTTCAAACTGATGCAAGGGATTCATAATGCACAATTTATCACACTAAACCCCGAAATCATTGAGGTATGCTTGGATATCTTATGTAATTATGTGCTGATTCACTTGTTGCATCATTATTTGTTCGTTAAAATTTCATTGGATATAAATCATAAAATATATGTAGTTGCACTAGCAGATGTGAAAATTAAACTTGTATTTGTAATTTTGTAATAGGGTTGTTATATATATATAGCTAAACGCTTTTGTTATATGAACATGTCTATATTCTCTGATAAATTTGGATGTATCATGTTCTAGGTCTTATTCAACGATCCAGATGTCTTTGAGCATCAACCTTCTCCCTTTAGTAGATTGAAGTCCTTGAAGTTGAAAGTGAATCATCCAGATGAACCCTTGATGATACCTGCGAAAGTGATGAATTACTTCTTCAGTGGCTCTCCTTCTGCAGAACTATGCTTATGGAGTTCCTAAGGTATTAACTTATCCGAGAAAAGTTATGTCAAAACAGATGCCCATTTTTTCCACGGAAGCTATGTTTTAATTGATTAATGTTACTTCATTAGTGTTCCTTTAGTAGATATGTTGTGGTAAAATATGATGGTATTTCCCTATTGAACTGCCCCAATCCTACCTGACTTCACTGTTTTGTGAGATTATTATCACATTGATTCCATTAATTTTATATGGGCCTGTAAACTGTTTACCGCTATGAAGGTGAATCTAGGGTGTCTACCCTGTGATGGTTTGACAGTGCATTTTATAGAATCTGTTAATGGTTGCATTTTCTCTATTTTTATTTACTACCTTCGAGCCAAAAGGAGCAGCGAATAAAAAAAAAGAAAAAGATATTCTCTATTTTTCATTTCTCCTTTTTCAATGGTTTTTGGAAAAAGCTACTTTCGGCTTTTGATTGGCAATCTGTTGTTGGTTCTAGCAGACCTCACTCTACTCAAATATGCCCGAGTTAAGGGACTTTCTTGCCTAGTTTGAAGTCGACAATCATAATAAAAGGTACCATTAACCTTGATAGTGACTCAGTATTTCATGAAAGAATTTCAAAGGTCATATGAAGTTGTTGATGATTATTGAGTGTAGCAATAAGGTCAGCCCTTTCTTATTAGAGGTGCTTCAAAGCTGCTCATAATCAAAGTTTGAGGCTGTTAGTTAAAGTTGTCTGCAAATACAATGCTGATCTACCTGAATCTAATTATTTTTGTTGAAAGGGCTTTAAGTGCACTACGAATTTCCATTAGATTTCACTGCAGATAGAATTTGGATCTTGAAAATCAAAATCTTGAAAAGGTTTTTGGCTTAGTTGTACAATTTAACGAGCTATCATAGTGAAGTTACAATTGTCTTTACCCGAATTACGGTCTGAGATGTTTGGTTTGGTCGCCATCTACTTCCTGAGAATTGGTAGTTGTGGAGATACCCAATTCGACCTTATGCTGCTACACTTTTGTTATTCTATTTCAACCAACTCATTGCATGAAATGGTTGCTCTGTAACTCCACTTAATCACTCAATGTTTTGCCTTCCGTTTCTTTTTTCAATAAATAAATAATTGAATTACTCTAGTTTTATTTACATTTTGATGCCATGCTACATGAGTTAGTTATTCAATTAATCTAATAAGTCAGTCATTCATCTATATCCACTGTTAATCGTAGGATAGTTTTATCGTAAGTTACACATGCACCTGAGAAACTAGCGTTGCCCCAGCAAGCCAAAAACCTTATGTTTATTATCTATTGTTTATTTGAAAATAATGATTCTATTTTTTCCTTTCACAATTTGTTAACTTATTAACAGTATATACATACCAATTAAGTACGAATAAAAGGTTGATTGTTATAAAATTCACGATATTTGGGACTGATTGAGTATTATTCATAACTCTCTAACCGCATGATTTGCAATATGTCGTTGTTCATGGGCTTGGAAAAAACTTGTTAAAAATTGAGATTCATAGCATGGGATTTAATAGTTGTTCTGTTGGAAATGGCAGAAGCATCCATCTCCGGTGGGCTAATTGGTTGAATTGGGGTACTATATCTAAATTGTATGGTAGCAGAACTGTTCTTAGCACAGGATTACCTTCAAATGCCAGAGTATCAGATGTCATCCCTAATGGAGAATGGACCTGGGATGATACTAAAACAAAAATGGTGATTGCAGATTGCTTGTAGTCTAATTCACCCTATTAAAGATGAGGACCAGTGATTTGGAAGTTTAAGTCCTGATTGCAAGCTCTCTTCTAGAAGGACTTGAGACTTCTGAGGGTAGAATGGACCAGCAGTTGATTGACATAGGCTTGTTTGGAAATCTCTCCACATTTCCAAATGTAGCTCCATCTCTTGGTTGCAAGAGGAGGGCAGATTAGGGCTACTCGTGCGTTGTGTGGTGCAGCTCATTTTCACAAGCTGTCTGCAGAATTCATAAGTCTGTTGTCTGCTGGAGTAGTGAATTTACGTGGGTCAGAATCAATTTTGCAGAAGAGAAATTTTCTTTCAATCCTATTGATCAGGATGGCTTGGTGTACTGTAATCTAAGTATGGTGCATGGAAGGAGAGGAACAATAGTGTTGGTGGTAAAGGAAGTTCAAGTTGGGATTTGCCGATTGGGTTATTCAAAAAAGGCCTACATGATACTAAGTTGCTGAAACATTAAAAAAGCAAAGCTTTTGTAGAGGATAGAATCCCAAAAGTATAGAGTAGATGGTGTTTTAGTTGAAGTGCAATCTTCTTGTCCTAGTTGAGTGAGTCTCTTCTATTAGCTTTAACTTGTATTTCCACTATGCTCCGGCAAGGCCTCCACTCCCATCGTTCTGTTTTACATTGCCATTTCCATCGGCAAGTGTTCTGTTAGTAAAAGCAGCACTTACCACCTAAGCATAGAGAAAACTGGGAGAAAGTCCTTTGGAGAGCTATGGCCAAGGAATAATTTAAGTCAAGTGATACAGTGCCAACCTTAATTTTCAAATGGAAAATAGTAAAGTGAAATCATGTATGAGGTGAGGTGATTATTGGTAGATTTACTATCAAATTATCATCTTAGATTCAACCTCTCTTTTCTTTTAGAATAATTGCCTCCTTTAAAATATTTATTCAATTCTGTTAATAAAATCTTAGAATGACAATTTTGAAGGAAAAAAAAGAATGGAGTGTTAAATAATCAAGAACATATAGCTATAGATATCTCCTACCAAGAAGAGCGATACAGGGGTGTGTCAGGTACTTACAAATACAGGCTAGCTGAGGGGGATGCCGCCTTTTAACAAGCTGCCAACATGCCTATTGCCTACTGAACGCAAAAACTTTCTCCTAATGCGGTTACTTTCCCGCCACTACTTTGCTAAACCAAAAAAATTCTCTACTCTTTCCAAATCCACGAAGCTCGACGAAGAATGCTGCGTTTCTCTTCTTCGAAACTGCAAATCAATGATCCACCTTAAACAAATCCAGGCCCACATCTTACGGGTTGGTCTCTATCGAAACACAGACACTCTGAAGAAGCTCATGGTCTTTTGTACAGACCCACATAGCGGAGATTTGGCTTACGCAGAGAGAGTCTTCAATTATATTCAAAAACCGTGTTTATTTATTTATAATATTCTGATTAAAGCCCTTGCAAAGAAAGGTACCTTTAGAAAATGTTTGATGTTGTTCAATAAATTGAGGGAGGATGGTTTGTGGCCTGATAATTTTACTTACCCTTTTGTTTTGAAGGCAATTGGGTGCTTAGGAGAGGTTTTAGAAGGAGAAAAAGTGCACGGGTTCGTGGTGAAAACTGGGCTTGAATTTGATGCTTATGTTTGTAACTCATTCATGGATATGTATGCTCAGTTCGGTCAAACGGATATTATGAGGAAGTTGTTTGATGAAATGCCTGACAGAGATGTGGTTTCTTGGAATGTGTTGATTTCTGGGTATGTCAAGTGTAGAAGATTTGACAATGCTATTAATGTCTTTTGTTGTATGAGAAAAGAGAGTGATTTGAGGCCTAATGAGGCTACGGTGGTGAGCACCATTTCAGCTTGTGCGGCATTGAAATGTTTGGAACTTGGCAAGGAAATTCATTGTTATGTAAGGGATAGACTTGAATTCACTTCTATAATTGGCAGTGCATTGTTGGACATGTACTGTAAGTGTGGTTGTTTGAGTATAGCCCGAGAAATATTTGATGTGGTGCCTCATAAAAATGTTATTTGTTGGACCAGTATGGTGTCTGGTTATGTAAACTATGGTGAGCTGGATAAGGCTAGAGAGTTGTTTGAGAGGAGTCCAGTTAGGGATGTTGTTCTTTGGACAGCGATGGTTAATGGGTACGTGCAGTTTAATCGTTTTGATGAGGCAGTGGCACTGTTTCAAGAGATGCAAATCACAAGGGTTATGCCAGATAAATTCATAGTAGTCGCTCTTCTCACAGGTTGTGCTCAGATGGGATCTTTAGAGCAGGGGACTTGGATTCATGGATACATAAATGATAGCAGAATTCCTATAGATGCAGTTGTCGGCACTTCTCTTATAGAAATGTATTCCAAATGTGGGAGCATTGAAAATGCTTTGGAGATTTTCAATGGTTTGAGAGAAAAAGATACAGCCACATGGACTTCTATTATATGTGGGCTTGCCATGAATGGGAAATCAAGCAAGGCACTCGAGTTGTTCTCAAAAATGAAACAAGTTGGGGCCAAACCTGATGAAGTTACCTTTATCGGTGTTTTAAGTGCATGCAGTCATGGAGGATTGGTTGAAGAAGGCCGTGAGTTCTTTAATTGCATGACGAGTATTTATAACATTGTGCCAAAGTTAGAACACTATGGGTGTCTGATTGACTTACTTGGTCGAGCTGGGCGGTTGGATGAAGCGGAGGAGTTGATGAAGAAAATACCAGATGCAAAAAATGAAAAAATAGTTCCACTCTATGGTTCTTTGCTTAGTGCTTGCAGAATCTATAAAAATGTTCAGATGGGTGAGCGGATGGCTGAGCAGCTAGTGAAAATTGAATCAAGGGACTCCAGTGTTCACACACTTCTTGCAAATATCTATGCCTCTGCTGGCAGATGGGTAGATGTAAAGAGGGTCAGACGGGAAATGAAAGAACTTGGAGTAAAAAAGGTACCTGGTTGTAGCTCAGTTGATGCTGACGGAATAGTCCGTGAGTTTTTTGTTGGGGATCCATCTTATCCAGAAACAAGAGAAATTCACTCCATGTAGGATAGAATGGTGAAGCCATTATTCAGTTCCAAAAAGAATGAAATGGAAACAGAAGAAATAGGTGCGATGAACTTTGATGAATAAAGTATTAAACAAAATAGTTAACCGTTTATGACTTTTTTCTGTTTTATTTGGTTTTGCTTTTTTACTTTTATTTTTGTCTTGAATTGTTAGTGTTTGAGGAACAAGGATTTGAAGCGTGGAAGGCAAATGCTTTTCAAGCTGTTGCTACAAATCTTGCCAAGATTATTGGAGAAAAACTGATTATTTTATAGCTCTCGGTTGTTGTATTCTATATGCAGTCTTGTGAAGTGTGAAATATGAGAGATGATGAAACAATATACACTTATGGTAATGAGAATCTCCTTTAATGTTAACTGTTTTTTTGAAGTATGAGTTTAACTTGCTTCTGAGTCAAAAAAAGGCATAATTATCGGGTTTTTTTTTTCAAAAAAAAAGTTTTTGAAGTGGTAGGAATAAGAGACTACTACAATGCTTTGTGGAAGATATTTTGCATGCTATCCCACATTTGGCATGCATAATAGATTTCAGTGCTGCTGCTCCACTAGCGTAAGTGCGTTCTTGTTGATCACTACCAGCATTTCAGTACTGTTACTCTATTATTAGTGTTGAGTCTGGTATTATTAAGCATATGATCTGTCATAATGCCACTCTACCTGGAACCAGATCTGAACTTAGGAGTTCTTTTTTTTTTTTTTTGCTGCTGTCGATACAAGGTTTGGGAACTTTTCCAGGGCATTGACATTGTGCCTTGTTATTCCAGCATCACCAACAGTCTTTTGGAGTATCAAACTTTGGCATCAAGTATACACTTGTTTGCTAACCAATTCATACGTATGCATTCCAGTAAAAAGATTTATGACTAATATTATTCACCTTGACTTGTGCAAGAATATGTAATCTACTTAATAACTAGCTGCATACGTTCTATCCTTCTCTAGTGCTGTATCATTTCAACCATTTAGAGTGGGTTTAATTTTCTCTAATATATGGAAGGTTCACAGCTAAACAAAATAAGTATCCACAAACTTGATTTGCTGCAGTCCTGCATTTCTGTCACTGAAATATGTCCTTTTCTTTTTCTAATGTGTTATGATGATCTGTGACTATTTGTTAAGGCTATCTGCATAATCCTTAACCTAATTTTCTTCTTGCAGGTACGAGCCTAATGGTGGATACAGTCTTCTTCCATTGACAAGCAGGTGCTGAGAGAGGTTAGTTTTGGCCACAGTTATTCATCTCCATGGTTTCTTCGAACCCAGTTATTTGTTCTTGTGGATAGCTTGTCTAGTTTTCTCATTGAGGAAAAGGTTTTGATTGCAATGGTTGCATTTCGCTTTGCAAAGCATTGCATACATGCGTAAACGAGACTGTAAAGCAGGTGATCGGATATTCTCTTTATTCTTTTTCTTCGCTTCTCTTCTTGCTAATTTACCTATTTCTTCAAACTAGGCCATTTGTGGTTTGGAAAGCAAGATGGGACTTATTCTAGAAGAAGCAGTTTGTAATACAAACTTTGTATCATTACAGAGGAAAATTGAACATTGTCTGGGAAGCAAGCAACTGGTGAGGAGTCGATTCCAACTCCAGTTAATGAACTTTCTTTGTTTAAGCTTTTTTTTCTTTTTTCTTTTTTCTTTTTTTCTTTTTTTCTTTTTCAGGGGGAAAAGAAAAAAAAAGGCATTGAAATTTTTTGTTGTATAAAAAATTAAAAGTTGAAACATGTAGCTGAAGCATCGTTTAATTGATTGTATAAAAAATAAAGTCAATCAAGCCCCCTGAGTTTAGATTGGGTATTCTGTATATTTGGGCTAGTTTTGTCAAGGTAGGCCTGTACTTTTCTTGCCTAGAGGTTCCTAAATTGATCCATTTGTACTCTTGGGCTTCAAAGTATTTGGATTAGGTGTTCTTTTTTAGTCGGAATCCATAGTATGCTATTCGCCTGCCCCTACTGGCCAGAGGCCATTATTCCCCAAAACTATTCGTTTTACCAGACAAAGCATGACTCTCACGTTGGAGATTGGCATTTGGAACAATGTGTAAAAAGTCTCATTCCTCCTTTTCTAGCCACCTAAATATGCGGCCCCTGCTCTGTTTTGCTACCTCCTCATCTCTCAAACCAAATCACCCTCTTCTTGAAAAAGATATAAATCCCCCTTGTCAAAGTTTCGCTTTTTCCCTCCTTTTAACCCATCAAGGAACCAAAGGTACTAGAAGAAAATGAAGCTCTCCCTTAATCTTCAAGATGACCACCAAAACCAAAACCCTCTTTTGAAAACCAAACTACCCATTTCAATATTCAATCAACCATTCACTTCTATCTTCACTACCACCACAACAAACTCCATTTCTGACCTCACTGTTGCTCTCTCTACAAACTTCCCTTCAGGCCCTTCTCTAAAGCTCACCTACACTCCATCCACAACAACAACAGCCGTTTCTCCTTTTTCTCTTGCTCTTAAATCAGGTTTAGGCCTTTTCGGCTCTCCGCACAATTCCCCTCTTGTTTTCTCTGCTCATTTTTCTTTCTCTAATTCAAGCCCCAATGTGATTGTACCTACTTTCTCTCTCCAATTCAAGCCCCAATTTGGCAATTTCTCTCTCTACAAAAGAACCGCCACTCCATCTTCTAACCTTGACTATGATCCTCCTAATTGTGGTTCCCACACTACGAATGGGCCCCGTTTGGAATCTGGGTCACCTTCAAAATCTGAACTCGGAACTTGGTTTGCCTCAGATGGGTCATCCGGTTGGCAGGAATTGAAATTGGAGGCATCTGATGATAAAGGGAAAGAGGGGTTTGCAAACAGTAATTACGTGGATGGTGTTTATGTTGATAATAATGGAATTGGGTTTTTGCCGGAAAGGCAATTGGTTTGGAATGATGGAAAGAGAAAAGGGTTTTCTAGTGGAGTTGGTGTAAAGGCAAAAACAGTGTTGCCATTGACTAAAAGGGTAGTGATGAATTTGAGGTGGGCTGTGAATTTGCCTGGTGACTTGGGAATAAAAAGGCCTTATTTGATAGTGAATAAGATTGGGATTGAGAGGGTTGAGGAGTTAAAGGAAGTGAAGAAGGAAAACAGCAATGAGAGTAATGTGGGCGATCTAGAGTTGTTAAAAGGAATGTGTTTTTGGATGAGAAGGGATTTGGAGGTGTTAGAGAAGGAAAATAGGGAGATGAAGCAATATTTGGAGGACATGAGATTGGGAGTTTCAGCGAGGAATTCCCGGAGAGAGATTAATGGTCTTGTTAAGAGAGTGGTGCCAGCTTCAAGTGGTAATCTTGGTGAGTTTGAGCAGTGGAGGAGCAAGAAAAATGATGGAGGTGGAAGTGAGCAAAGAGAATCAAAGAAGCCTGCGAATAAGGCGACTGACTTGGAAAGTGAGTTACAAAAGGCTATTAAAGCTGCTTCCTCGTAACCAGGTTCGAAATGCTTACAATTTATGGTATCCTGTTTGAAATTGAACGTGTATACTAATTGAGCTTTAAGTTTTATGTAAACAATGCCACGACCAGGATGCTGTGTGGATTTAAAATGGGTGCTATAGCGAGCTTTATTACATTATGTTAATAGTAGGGATTGATGATAGGTATCTGTATTTCTTTGAACACAAAAAGGTTCAATCGATCGAGAGATTCAAGAAAACTTTTACATTTATGATTGCTTTATTCGGCAGCTCTTCGTCTTTGTCCTTTCTAGTTTTAAATTTGTAGATCCGCTTGTAGGGCTTTCAACAGTGTTAACTTAATTATTTGTAACTAGTTTCTGATGAAATTTTCTGTTTGTTTGTCAGTATGTAGGATAACCCATCATGTGACATAAAAATGGCAAGATGTTATATATTTATCTGCTAAAGGAAGGCTAAAAAACTTCATGTCAAGAAAAGAAAAGGTAGGCGTGTGTAGAAACAATTTATTCCCAGCTGTGTTTTGCTGTATGTTTATTACATGTGAATAGTGAGCCTAGAAATTGATATTTTCCTATAAATTATGAAATATTTGATTCAGTTCTCACTGTTTCAGCAATGCTTACAGATTCTGCTGGAAGTGGATGATTTGCTTGTATTAGAAATTTATACTTTCTGCTGAAGATATCAGGGATGTTCCAAACTGTCCGAGTTCCTTAATTCCTTGTTTTTGCTATGCTTTTTTTCTAATGATTTATATCAATCGATGGTTTGATATTGTCTTATGGGGTTGTGTGTAGGAAGTTTAAGTGTGTGCAAAAGGCCAATTAACCCAAAACAGTATTAATCTAGAGGATTTAAAGGTGTCTTAATCATCACTTACCAACAACTCCTTAATATCATGTGATTTTGAGATCATTTGCTCGAAACTTATTTGTTGATTAAAAAAAGTGTTTATACCTGAGGAAAAAAACATCATTGCTACATCTCTCTCTTTTTCATGGTCCGTCATGGTGTAGATAACAAATTTTAGTCTTTTTCAGTGAAATTCATCTTAAAACCCAGTTGCTTAAGTTACACTTGTATTTCTTTCTGAATTGTGAAACTATAGTATTTGGCCCCATGCCCTCTGATTTTAAATTCGTTATTTAATTTCCAATCACAAGTGTTCTTAAAAGCCCAATAATGCAACAGCACCTTCCATTAAGACCATATATTTTTTACAAACTGAGAGATTAATATTTCCTATTCGTTAGCCACAAAATCAATATGAGGTCTGTTCCTTCCATTATTATGGACATGGGAGGTTTTATTTCTCAGTTGAGAAGAGAATTTGCATGACATCACCATAGAATATGTATTCTGTTGCTTCTGTGTACTTAGATTGGCAGGTTCTTTCAGTGCCCAGAGTATTCTTGCTTTTCCAAATTCAGCATCTTCTTTGACTGAGCTCCACCAAGTAAAATGGGGATACTCATTTCCTTGCATTTTGACTCCCCTTTGCATAAGAAGAATACTAAAATGGAAGTCATTTGGCTAAATTTTGATCATCAAGGTTCTCTGGTTTTCTTTTCTAAGTTTACATGTCCTGATGAAAATGAATTTCTGGTTGGGGGGTTGTTATCAGGTGCTGGACTTGCTCTTGAGGAAGTACGGTTGCCCATAACAACTGGATGTGGAGGGACTAGAATTAGTTAATACTTAACACACTGGGCATGACTTTCACCAAGGTTATGTTTGTTTTGCTATGTTTGTTTTGGGGAAAGTTTCAGGAACTTGTTTTTCTCATTTTCTCTCATTTTCCGATGTTTGTTTCTCGATTAGGGAAAAAATTCAACAAAATTTGATTTTCAATCAATGGAATTTAATAGACTATTTTTGAGAAAGCGTTTTCTCAGTTAAAAAAGAGAAAAACATTTTCTCTCTCTCTCTCTCTTTCACGAATTGTCTTGTTTTTGTGTTACTTATCTTTCTTTGGATATATTTTAATAATTTTTTCTTTTTCTCCTTTTTATTTAAAATATATTAAATTAATTTTTAATTATTTCTTAGTAATTATTTAATTACTTTTCTCTATTTCTACTAACATTTAATTTTTTGATTTATAAATAAATTAAATATTTTTAAAAACAATTTTTACGCTTTAAAATTATTTTTATTATAAATATTTCAATAATTTATCTTTATATTTTTATATTTTTATATATTTTTTAATCTTTCTAATATTTTCTATTTATATTTTTTTTGGTGTTTTTTTTTAATCAACATCGTTCTCTAATAATTAATAGACTCAACAGTTTGTCCACCTATTATTTATCTCGTGCTTATTATTTATTTAACATAATTATCAAAATAAAACCTAAAATATAAATTTAAGCATTTTGACTAAGTAATTAAATAAAACTTAAAAATTCAAAGATATTAAACCTAAATTAGGCATGAAATAACAAGCATGCATTAACAAAATTTAGGATTGATTTACCTAGAAAAAGGGAAAAAATAGGTTATTGGGCCCCTTTGTTTGGTTTGCCTATTGGGCGGCGTAGTCTTTTTCCTCCTCTTAGGTTGGGTTAAGCCCAGCCCTTTTCCTTCCTCTTTTTTTTTTCCTCTTGGGCTGAGCTTGACCCAACCCATTTCCTTTCTTTCTTTCTTCTGTTCTTTTTTTAGGCTAGACTGAGCCCAACCCTCTTTCCTCCTCTTTTTCTTTCTTTCCTTTCTCTCTCTCTCTCTTTTTTTTTTTTTTTTCTTTTTCTTTCGTTTCTTCGTTTCTTCCTTTTTGGATCGAATATCTAGTTCATCAATATCTCAGGAATTCTACTCCATCCACTAGAATTCCCCTCAACGGTACGTAGGCAATTCATAAACTTAACGGACCTCTTTTCAGTTTTCCCTTTTTAGATAGTTTGATGAATTTGAATCATTAGACTCAATCGATGGATGGCAGTAACACTGTCACTACCATTTTCATTTGCTCAAATGGAAAATGGGATAAAAGGTTGATTAATATAAACAAAGGATGTGATTCGGGTTAATTGGGGGAAGATTGATCAATTGGGATGAACTTGAAAGGCTGAGTGTGGTTGTTTTGATTTCTTCTGCTTGCAGGTGATCGAAGATGACTAGTGAATGGGGTTTGTAAAGATTTTGTAATCTAAAACTTATGGGTGCTCTGTTGTTATGATTGAGGACTGAATAAATGCTTAAAGAGATTGACTTCTCGTGTTCTTGAAACTTAGAACACCAAGGCAAACCCAGAATGTAAAGAACAAGAATCCATAAATTTAAGAGAAAAACCCAAAAACTCAACCAAAACCTTGAAACTCAAGAACAAAAACCCAAAAATTCAACCAAAATCCAAAAAAAAATTGAAACCCATATTCCTCTTTTCACTCTGCTTTTCTTTTCTTTTTTCTCCTTTGATCCCTCCTTTCTGGACCAAAATCTCCTTCTATTTATACTCAATTTTCTACTAACAAGCTCAATTTATTTTCAACCGTTTGATCAAAAACCTTATCCTTCCATTCTGTTATTTTCTCTAACATTCTCATCCTTGCAATTTGTTGCAGCACAACTTGCTGACCAAGCAAAGGAGAGGGATTGATGAGCTGGCTGAGGGAATCAAATCTGTTAGCAAACCAATATTATTCCCAAAACCATTTCTGGATTTGAAATGAAGGAGCAAGTGAATGACCGTTCACTGTCTCAAATGGTAATTTGCTAGATCAGTCCTTCAACTTTTCAAAATTTTCAATCATATCGTCTGATTCTTTTCAATTATGCCTTTAATTCATCCTGATTTTTATTCAATTTAACCCTTATTGGCTTCCAATTTTGAGCTGATTTAATACAATTATATCCCTGATTAAACACATCCCTCAATTATGTATTTTTATATTTTTTATTTCTTTTCTTCTCTCTCTTTTTTTTTTTTTGTGTGGTAAGTACTAAAATAAAATAAATAAAATCAAAATCAAAATAAATAAATAGATAAAATAAAAATGAAATAAAAATAAGGAATAACTAAAATAATAAATAAATGAGGATAAAAAAAGAAAAAAAAGTAAAAAGGGATAAAATTAGGAAAAAATTATATAACTTAAAATTTAGGTTATGACAAAGTTTGTGATTTTATGGTACAATATGTCATAAAAAAAAAAAAAAAATTTAAAGGCCTATTTGCCTTCTATTATTATCGTGATGACCGTTCGATCTATACTTATTTGCTTGTCTTGAGTTACTTATTTAACAAGCCATTTTGTTCATTGATTCTCACAACACCAAAAGTCAACTATGAACACAAAAATATTCAGTTGTTGCAATAAAAAAAATTGACACAATCTTTGAAATTCTTGTGTCTCTGTAGCGCGGGTAACAATCTTGTATCATGGTAAACCGCTTGAAACATTGTTAGAATTTACAGTGTGGATCATAATTTTATTCAAAGTCAATGTAATATTTAAATAAATAGCACACATTACATTTTATAGATAAAAGATCAGTTATGTTGTGAAAATTTGGCAATCGAGAAGATTTTTTTTCCTTAAATGGAGCATTTTCTGACCATTTCTTCCAAATAATACACTTTAACTCCTATTTATTAAAAGACAGTGGTTTTTTTTTCCATGTAAGCATCTATGTCATTTTTTTCCCCTCTTGGTTAAATTGAAGTGATTGAATGTTATAGGGACCAAATCAAAACTCCATCATCGCTTTCAACCTCTAGCAACACATAGGTGCTTAATCCACTAGAAAATGAGCAATGAATGGGTCAAAATACATCCAGCACGTAAACTAGGATTTTCATGCTTTTTCACCCTAAAATTATATATCATGTTACCATAAGCTAAATAAAATGTAAATTAATCCAAAATAATCAATTAAGCATCATGTTTATCAACCAAAACATCTTGTAAATTTAATAGAAAAATCAAATACTCATTTCAAGCAATCTTAATCTTTAGTGATCTTTCATGAAAAACTCTGGTCAGAATCATTTTAATTCTCCACAAACGTGTTATAAGCATGTCTTTTTTTTTTTTTTTCTCTCTACTTATTGTCAATCAAAATTTAATTTTTTTATATCAAAATTGTATTTGATAGAAGATAGTATATGTATATATCTAGAGAGCACCCGCAAATTAAATTAATGATTAACAACCTTAGGTGATGGGAAAAAATCAAAACCATTCTAGTTTTTGTGTTTTTTTTTTTTAATGCTTTTTTAACTAGAAAACGATGAAGCCATTGTCATGAACTAAAAAATCAACAAAACCAAAAAAATTCACATATGTTTAGATTTTAGTTTCAAATTCAAATGCAAAACAATCGTATGACTATATAAAACGATTAATTTGATAGCCATTGCTGTAAACTAAAAAAAGAAAAAAAAGAAAAAAGTTGCTATAGAAGTAGTGATAAAAAGTGATGTGTATCTGTTTTTTTTTTTTTAAATAAAAATTATCATTCTCTAGATGGCAATGTAACTCCAAACCCAGCATTTTCCAAGTCGTCCAGTAAAAACCCGACCACAATAAATGTTATTATTATTATTATTATTATTATTATTATTATTATTATTTCCCTTTATCCAACCGTTCCAAACTCGAATGTTACTCACTAAAATCTATTGTCAAAAGCAAAGTACTTCCCACTAAAATACCGAGATTCAATCGTCCAACATTATATAAATAGCAAATCTCAAATATTTAAGAGCAGAATCCAATCAAACCATACTTATAATGCAAATAAAATTTTGCAAAACAATTCTGTAACGGCAATATTAGAATTAGAATCTCTTTAAATTAAAAAAATTCAACAAAAAATTTCTGCAATGACTATATTAGAGTTAGAATTTCTTAATTATCAAAAAAAAAAAAAAAGGTTAGAATCTCTTCAAATTAATTTTACTGCTACAGTATTACTTGATGGTGCTGGTCTCTTCCTGGGCCAGGTCTGGTCCACGATGTTAGAGATAGAAAAGAACTTTTTAAGTTGCGAAGTTCAGAACATGCTTACTGGTTAGTAAGAAGCCCAAAACCAACCTTTGTGATATAAAATAAAAACAATAAAATTAATGAAGCGATGCCTGTCCTTGGAGAAGCAGAGCGAATGGAGAGAGCAATGGCAAGATCGAAGTCATCAGGTGGAGGTGGAGGTGGAGGTGGAGGTGGAGGTGGAAGTGCTAGAGAAGGCACAACAAAATCAATAGTGGCTGATCAAATTTCTCAGGCTGTGCAATCCACCTCCAATCTCCTTCACCTCATGCAACAGTCCTCTCCATCCCAGGTTCCTCCATCTCCCTCTTCGTACATGCTTATTAAGATTCTTGATGGTCATTATATATATTTTTTTCTTTTTCTTCGATCATATGCGCTTCACTTGTTCTCTATGTTTTTGTGTTACAACTTAGAAGTCACGGGGTTTGATTTAGTAACAGGATTTGGAAATTTAATGATATTGATGAACATTGGATAAATGGGTTTGCTTTGTTTTTTTATTAAATAGTCAGTTTTGAGGGATTTTGGTTATGGTTATATCGGACTATTTAGTCAAAAATTGATACACTGTTGAATGTGTATTAGATAAGCTATGTGGTTATGAAGAATAGGATGTTTTGGGATTTTAATCTTTCTGTTCAGTAGTGTAATTTGTTCGCTTTTTGTTCGGGATTATATGTGAGAATTAACTTGGCGGGATAGATAAGAGCAATGGTGGAATGGGCTTTTCTAGGTTTGAATGGCAAACCAAATACTGCATTTTTAGTCTGAGAAGGAGTGGGTGCAAAGGCAAATCGTATGCATGTGTGCACTCGAGAAATGGTGAGGAGAGGGGATCTCTAATAAATGAGTAGAGTCCTTGGCACTTAACTCTGCTTGGCACTTTTAGAATTCTGCTTTTTATGGAAACAAAGAAAACGTTTAGGATGAACTTTAAGAGACTGTAATTCAATTTGTTTTTTGCTAATGGCATTCAAGTTTTAAGACATTTTCATATGGTGTTCTCAGAGGCCTTTTATGGGAAATAGTGGAAACACTGAAGTAGATTTGAGCTAAAGATTCAAATATCCGTAACATGGTTTACAAAAAGAAAGATTAACTAATGAGAGTGGAAAAAGAAGTCTTTGGTTAAAATTATATGATGAATGTCTTTATAAGCTCTATTATTTAGTCTATTCATAAAAGCCCAGTTATGTTTATTGGTTTATGAAGAAGCAATTGTGAAGTTTTAAAAGGACTTCAGAATTTGCATATAACATTTAATAGTCTGCTTTTCTACTTGACACGTTGTGGATTTGTTTTGTGAAAGAGTTTCAAGAAACTGGTTTTTCAATTTAGTCATTGTTTCTCGTCATAGCTGGTGTTAAGGCTTCAAAAACAGTGTTCATATTAGTGGATATGGTTATTTCCCTGTTCTGTTGAGAGTAGTTGAGCACTGTTTGAGGGAGTTGGATTCATTTATTCTTCACACTCTCCTTAGTTGATTTCTGTATTTTATGAGATATGCAACCCTCTTTCTCTAATTCATTACATGATAACTATAGTTGCAAATTGCGTCTAGATTTTTTCTTGTTAGTCAGCAACGATAATCTCATATGATTTAAATGTTGAAGATGGATGGTAGGATCTAATCAGTTATATTTATTATTTAGATCATTATGCAAAACATGTATCTCTTTTGTCATTTGCAGGCCAAACTCATGAAGCTCCCAAAGAACCTTCTGGCAAAAGCCTCTACTATCAAGAACACTGGACGAGTATGTATTTCTGTCATCAAATATAAACTTGTGTAGGAGAAGTCAATTTAAGAATTCATTTCTCTTCTCATTGTTTTCTCTATAGTCAAATTATCTGTTTTTCTTTTTCCTTAATTGTTGAAGGTTTTAGAGCAAATGCCTAAGGTGATCTCATCCCTGGATGCACATATGGATTGTGGATTGGAAAGGTTAAGTTAATATATTCTTTTGTTACACTTGGTTCGTCCATATCTTTAAAAATTTAGATCGCGCTCATGTATTAATTAGCTTTATTTGATTGTCCAATGCATCTTAACTCTTTGATACAAGTCAATGAAACTCTGCATGTGTAAATTGTAAGTGTTTAGCATGTAATGGAATGCTTTTGGTAGTAAAAATTTTATCCATGAGGATTGGTGGTGTGTACTGCAGTACAGGACAGAAGAATGATGAAACTTGAAAGATAAACACAAAATGCATATAGGATACACAACCATCAAAGCAACTCAACGATGCCTTACTACCTGCTTGGGTCTGACCATGTGAATATTTGATGCTGTAAATAAGACATGATAGCTAAAATTGTAAACTTTGGAATTTATTAAAAATGATTGGAAACCTGTTGAATGGTGTGATGCCATGATACGGTGAAGGCCATTTTGAAGTTCTAATGTGTTGAGCTCAAATTATCGAACCATTTTGTTTTGCATATATTTTAAGGCAGCATGAATGATAATAATGCAGCTATTCTCTGGATGTTTTGGATTGATGACGTCATTACATGTTTATAATTTTCTATCTTTTCTTTCCCTCCTACAACAAGGAGAAGAAAGTTCATCTGTATCCATCCATTACAATCAACTAGGAAAAATTCTTTCAATTTTTTATTCTCCCGTTCTTTTAGTTGACTTAAGTAACAATTTTGCAGTGTTCCTCACCTGAGAACCGTAATCCAGTTACTTGAAAACATGGAGAGCTGCCAGCTTATATCTCTTTCTCAAGCCCAGTTCTCGCAACAAGTACAAACTCTATCATTTTCGGGGCTGTGTGTGATTGCTTGTGCAATGTTCTAATCAATAGCCCATCTACTGCAACGTTTAATTGATGACTACTTTGAATGTCCACACGTTTTTATCTTAGTTTCCTTCCTCTCTGTCTCTCTCTCTCTCTCAGGAATCTGAGGCGTCAAGTCAGCCTCCAGAGGCAAGTTAAGGGACCAAATTTTACAGTCTGGGACTAATCAGAAGTTTAACAGAACTAATCATCAAATCATGGCTGGCCAACCTTTAAATTCCCAGTCTCAGAAATAACTCTGAGGTCTCAGTACACGTTGTACATGCTTGCAGTCCCGCGGTGCATTAAATATGCCCTGCCCCACTTTCTAGTCTATTGTACATTACATGTGATTGCTATTATTCTTATGTTGACCCAAAAAAGATTCCATACCCTGCGTAATTGAAAAGGAAACCAACATGTCCGTATCTTTGAAATTTCTTACTGTTGGAAACACGTTTAACTGGTAGTCTATTTTGTGGCCGATGGTTTAGTTCTCTTTCAAGCACCCAAGCAGAGGAGTGCAAACTGCTAATAGTGTGGTACTTGAAGCAATCATTCTGTCTTCATGCTTCGTTGTGTTTAGTGTGACAAAACAGGCCAGATATGCATCCAAGTTGATAAGGAGCAATGTGGCTGGAAAACATTCGCTCCCAGATAATCTCTTGACTTTGCCTTGTGCTTTTGTTGATGATTTGGATTGGCAGGTTTTATGAATATTTGTTTTCTTTATTTTTGAATCAAATGCATTTGATTTGCCAATGCCCATAAAGGAAAATGACGTGATGTGAGGTTGGTCCCTGACCTATACCATAATGGTTATCTAGGATAAGTACTCTCTGCATCATTCAATTTCATCTGATTTATAATATTGTTTGTTGTAGGATATTTAGACCCGTTGGGATTAGAAATCTATTACCAACCACAATCCTAATGGAGCCAGCTCGAGGGGTTGTATTACCAAGAGAAGAGAAGTAAATATAGAAATGGCATGGACTAGATTTTGGGCTTAGTGATGCAAAAATACTTAAAATGACACTGCATCGTTATCCATGTTTTTTTAACAGATCTTGTTACTTGCTTTAGCTTACTGGTTTTTCTTTCTCATGGTCGGCCAGATTCTCTCTTTTTTCGGAGAAAGTACGACCATTCAAGCTTTTTTGTTTTTGTTTTGGTTGCATATTCAAGCTTTGTTAACAAAGCGTCACGGCACCAGAAGATTTGTTCCAGGAGAGAGAAAGGATACTCTCTCGTCAGATTCAACTTTGGTAGAAAAATGCTAGAATATACTAAAAAAAAAAAAATAGTAAATTTTTATTATGGTCAACATGTTACGTATATCTACAACGTAAAATTAATTGTGGTCTATATATAAGATTAATTATGATACATGATATTTAAAAGATAATTATGATATACAATGTTTTAAAATATCTTTAATTAATCATGATACTGTATTATTATGATATTTGATTATGATATATGTAATTAATCATGATATATTTTTTTAAAAAAATGATCTTCTTTCGCAAATTTAAAAGCTATGCTATCATATGTTTACGTTAGTAAGAAGACGTGATAACTTATTTTTCATCTATTTTCTGTTTTTTAATATTCTTTAAAAGTGTGAATGAATAAAAAAATTATTTTTTAAATTATATGAAAAACATGAAGTTTTGAAATTTATGTTATATTATTTTGCATAATTATAATTCTAACTTTAATGAGAAGAAATGTAAAATAGAGTAAGAGTAATAATTTAAGGTGCATTCAAAGCAATCCAAAAATGCATTCCATATGAGGAAGAATTGCAACATCTTGTAGACGTCAGAGAATTGGAACCGTAAGTCCGATGAAAAAAAGTGGAAGAAGAATTATGGAAAAACAGCATTGACTTTGAAAAAGAATCCAACTTCTACCTTCTAACCGACAAAAGCACACGCGCTCTATTAAAACAACGTATGGGTATGTATGTATGTATGCGTTCTGATAGTACTCCATAAAGCCCTCGAAACCCCACTTGGATTGTGTTCCCGCACACGTGTCAGCATACCGTTGAAAGTACCCCTCAACTTGGTTCTTCGCTTTTTTATTTTGACTCATTGACTCACCTCCTCCTACATCCAAATTGGGGAACGCTTTGCAGATTATTTTCATTAAATGAATCCTAGTTATTTCCAAAGTCCAGGTTCAATTAATTTTAATTTTAGATAATAGTGGTATCTGTTTTACTAAGAATCCTATCACTAGTCACAGATACTTTTAAATAATAAGAATAATGAAAAACGGCACGTCGTTCGGGTTTGTGAATTTGTCGCCTCTACCTATTAGTAGTGCCGCCTCCTATAAAAGCAAATCCTGAAAATAGAAAAAGAAAACACAGGATGAAGTGTGAGAAAGAAACACCTCCATCGTCTGCTCCATAGATTTTTGAAAAAAAAGAAGAGCTTTTTAAAAGGCTCTCCACCTTTTAGTCTTAGCCATTCAAATTATTTAGTAAATAATAGTTTAAGCCAATCCCTAACCCTAAATTGTCAAAACAAAAAGGCAATGGCTTCTTCATTGACTCTGCAATCGTCCCCTTCCCAAACGGCATCGTTTTTGAAGTCCTCCTCGTCTTTGTCTCGTTACGCTTTTGGACAGACAACAAGTTTGAATTTCAATGGTTCTTGCACTCGAATTTCTGCTACGAACACCATTGTAAGCTCAAAAAAAAAAAAAAAAAAACCATCATTCTTCTGTTTTATTTTTTAAGGTTTTATTTTTCTTTTTCATTGGCACACAGCTTTTTGCGTGTTTGGTAATCCAAATGAAACATAGAAAGAGGGAGAGAGAGGGAGAGAGACCGTTACATTCTACTGAAAGTGATAATGATATATCGTCGTTATATTATTTTATTTGTGTTTGCACGTGTTTAATCTTTCACCGTTTTTTTTTTCCTAATTTAATTATTGGATTTGGATTTTTAATAGAGCAACTGATTTGTTTGAAGTATTTCAGAATGGTTTTAATGAATATTTGATTATGAATTTATTTTTTTCTATATATATATATAATTTTTTTTTTTTTTTTCATTATGTTACTGCAAACAGAGCACTAGGAAATGGGAGGTACATTCTGTTTTATAGTGGTAGCTTTGTAGTTAATGTGCATGTATAGTGTCTTTGTGTAGGAAGACGAGAGTTGTGAAGTTGTGTTTCTGACTGATTTTAAGCTATTTATCATGCCAGAAATGCGATATTTCTGAACCATTGAATTTTGGAAATGGAAAGCCTACTATTCCTGTCCTTAACTACCGAACCTTGCCCAAGTTCTTGGAATCTGCTCGAGTGGAGAAAACTGTTAGCAGAAATGATACCAGGCTGAAATTGTTTTCTGGCACAGCAAATCCTGCTCTATCTCAGGTGACTATGTAGTTCTTGATAGTTATGTACAAAAGTTTTGTATAGATATTGCATTATTATTGGTGGTTACTTCTGTTGGTAAAACTGGTGGAATATTGATACTTTGCTTGTATAAAAATCTCATCAGGTTATAAGTCATGATAAACGTTACTCTTTGTGCTGAAATCTTGTGAGATGTTGGTTTGATTTAGTTCCTTATGTGTAATGCTGCCAATTCCCTCCTGCCTTTGATTAAAAGATCTCCAAAATCAAATTGAGATTCTTATTGGCGATATTTGATGCGTGATTTATTTTGATACACTGAGAAACTCATAAAATATATTTCTGAAGCAACATGGGTTTCTATGTGATTGGAATTTTGCTCTCTGTTAATGGTTTGTCATTCATCCCCAGGAAATTGCTTGGTATATGGGCCTAGAACTGGGAAAGATCAACATAAAGCGATTTGCAGATGGGGAAATATATGTTCAATTGCAAGAGAGTGTTAGAGGATGTGATGTTTTTCTACTGCAGCCCACCTGTCCTCCGGCAAATGAGAATCTCATGGAACTCCTGATCATGATCGATGCTTGTCGGAGAGCATCAGCCAAGAACATCACTGCTGTGATCCCGTACTTTGGATATGCGAGAGCTGATCGACAGGCAAGTTTTATGGTTTGATTTACCTAAAGAGCGATATTTCCAATCATTACTAGGGAATAATTTAAGCGTTCACATCAGTCATGTCAACCTGGTCAGATGAATAAGTACTTTTATCTCCTTTTTTTCCAGAAGAAAAGCTTGATGCTAGATAAGTTCTGGTATATATAATGGAAAATCATGATGTCACGGATGGGTTTAGCTTTTAACATATGTTTCATGTTTGTGCTCTACTTCAATGCTGTTTGAATTTGGTTTAGGCAACATTTGGTATGATTGGTTCCATTAATTGTTTTATCATGACTATGTAAGGTATTAAACTATGATCTTCTTGTGTATGCATTTACTTTTTCTTTTCTTTTCTTTTTTGGGGTGTGTATGCAGACTCAAGGTCGTGAATCCATTGCAGCCAAACTTGTTGCAAACCTTATCACAGAAGCAGGTGCAAACCGCATTCTTGCCTGTGATCTTCATTCTGGGCAGTCTATGGGTTACTTTGATATTCCTGTGGACCATGTGTATGGTCAGGTAATTACTTTATAGCTTTTAATGTTGTCCTTTGGTTATCCTATTTTTTACTAATTTCTTTTTCTCTGCTTCTTCTGTGACTCTAGCCTGTGATTCTTGATTATCTTGCAAGCAAGACAATTTGTTCCAGTGATTTGGTAGTGGTTTCACCTGACGTTGGTGGAGTTGCAAGAGCTCGGGCTTTTGCAAAAAAACTGTCGGATGCTCCTTTAGCTATAGTGGATAAAAGGCGTCATGGACACAATGTTGCTGAGGTAATCTCCTGACCAAGTCACTGCTAAGTGTTGACAGTAATTTCTTTATCCATGTCTTGATTACTACACTACATTATTAGGTAAAATGTTTACTTTTTTAGCATCCAAATGAAATTTTCAATTTTGTTATCTCACTTGAAAGACTATCTATTTACTGTTACTTCCCTTGCTAGGTACTACATTTTCTCACTGCATGTACACTTTCCTCTAGTAAATGCTAATTTCATGTAAGCAGATATTGAGTGTGGCCTATTGTAGAGGTCTGGTTCCTTTTGTTTAAGTGTGACAACTAGTAAGGGAAGTTCCCTTTGCATTTTTTTTGTCCGGTTTGTTTTTGTCTTCACAATCTCAAAACCATGCCTAATCTGATGCTGCAGGTTATGAACCTTATTGGTGACGTAAAAGGAAAGGTTGCTGTTATGGTGGATGATATGATTGACACTGCTGGTGAGTAGTCTTGATGTCAAATTCTAATCCAAGACAAAAGGGAAAAGTGAAATTTTACTCAGTATATGATTTGGTTATTTTTTAAAAGAAGTTTTTGTCAATGATTGTATCCTGTTCCTTTTAAAATTTTTTAATATTTAACCAAAAGCATTGATTATACACTTAAGGTACCATTGCAAAAGGAGCAGCTCTCTTACATGAAGAGGGGGCCAGGGAAGTTTATGCATGCTGCACCCATGCTGTTTTTAGGTACTCAGTTCATTTACAATATCTAATTAATTTCTTGATGTGTGTATAAAATAGTTTCTACTTTTCCCCCACATAACTAAAGTACAGTTTCTTTGGATTGCCTGGAGAAACATATGTTTTTAAGATCTACTCGTTAGATACTGGTAGTTAAATGTCCCCAGTGAATGTTCACGACAGCAGTGGTTTTTTCCTTCCTTTTCTGCATTTTATTTCAAGGTGTCAACTTGCAAGAAAACTTTTTGATTTTCAATTCAAAGTTCTGGAATTGTAATTTTGTATGGACTTAGCATCCTGTATTTTAAAAAATTCAGACAAGTTTCTACAATGTGGTTTCCGTTATGATTTGTTAGAAAACTTATATTTTTCCCACGTATAATTATAGTTGCTGTTCTCTTGTATGATTTGTTATGAGTGTTGGATATCTACCAAATATGTATCTTGTTGAGTGCTGGCTCTTCTGCCTGAGCATAATAATACATGATAGATATAAAAGCGAGAGTACAAATAACAAGTAATTCTTAGTACATGAGGTTTAGACTTCCTCTCAAAAACCTGTAACTAAACATCTCATTCATATTATTGTTGACATTGGTACCCTTTTTATTTGAAGCCCTCCTGCAATTGAGAGGTTGTCGAGCGGCCTGTTTCAAGAGGTGATCATTACAAACACAATTCCAGTGGCAGAGAAGAACTACTTCCCCCAGTTGACTGTGCTTTCTGTGGCAAATCTCTTGGGTGAAACAATTTGGCGTGTTCATGATGACTGTTCCGTAAGTAGCATTTTTCAATAACGTAGGAATATGCAGTGGTGGTAGAAGATCATTTTAGTTCACACATGGATTCCCTGGCAATATGGCGAAGGCAGAGATTATAGGATTAAATCTTTCATAGTACGAGAAAATCAATACGTGGGGCTTCTTCTTCTTTTCCCCCATCCGCTAACATGTTTCTTTTATTCAATGCTTAGTCGGCTGGATTGGTTGAATAATTTTTATCTGCATCTATATTGTAAGCCAGGGACTAGCCCTTCAGACAAAAATTCAATAGTCTTGCATGTGAACCACTACAGCAGTCTCATTTAATAATACATAGATTTTGCCCAATTTTTGTTTTTAGCCTTCTAACACTAATTTGGATTTATTTAGTTCTTCTAGCTGTACTTTGATGCAGTTCAATTCTAATTAAGCAGGAATTAGAATGAAATGCAACCGATCAAAGCAAGTAAGTGGATGCTTTATGAAACGAACACTAGAAACAGTGACTTGAATGAAACTGAAATATGATTGACTTGATAGGAGAGCTATTATAGAAAAAGAATCTTTAAGCTAAGAATCCTAGGAATCACAAAAGATTGAATTACTAGGAAAGCTACTATAGAAAAAGAATCTTTATCAAGAGTTCCCAAGCTAAGAATCCTAAGAATTACAAAAGAAAATCATGGAGAGAAAATCGGAGAAGAAAAATGCTCAAATGTCCAGAGTAATCTTACTTCCCTTCCTCCTGGTTAAATGCTATAGCACTATCCTAACAAACTAATAACAAAAAGCCACATACACGTGTTCTGCATTTGCTGACTTGCACAACCCCTTTCTATTTAACTTGTACTAATGTCACTTGCTGAAAAGACCTTGTCCTCAAGGTCAAAGCGAGGAAAATAACTCATCATTATTTTATGATAAAGATAGCCATTGAAACCACAGGATCGTCTAGTGACATTGGAAGCTGTCCTTGAACTTCAATTATCTTATTGCATCTGGACACTCCAATAGAAGCCTCAGGAACAAAATCATCTAAAACAAGTTTGGTAAATGTACCAGTTGCCTGCCACTCACCTTTATCAAGCTTTACTAACGAGTTCACTGAAGCATAACATCCATTAATATTCGACAATGGAACTAAAAAAATTCTCAGCTTTACAGACTTTCCAGTAGCATTCGGACTGGTTTGATACTCATTTGCAGCCAACTCCCATGTTGCTTCACTCACATGACTAACTTTAACAAAACTATACTCTTAACAGTCATTGACTGACTTCTCTTACTCTGAAATTGGAGCTTGAGGAGCCATGTGTTCCATCGAGCTGTTAACAAACCCATCTAGCAAATTGTCCGCTTCGAGAAGCTGATTAGCAACTATGTTCTTTATTTTGCCTTTAAATATGTTCTTTATCCAGCTTACAAAATGAAACTCATCTCTGAGTAATCATATGAGGTCAGAATTGACTATTAGAAAGTTGATCATCCTTTCTTTAATCTTTAACCACAAGCACAAGGTATTAACAATGGCACGAGTACTTTGTTGTTTGCACAAAAATGTCCATCTTTGTGGTGTTGATAGCTTGAAAAATTGTAAACCATTGACTTTCAAACAACCATGATTTATCTACTACATCTACTACAAAATATCTGTCAAACAACCATGATTTATCTACATACTGATTATACTTTACCTCAAGTAAACTTTTAATCCAAGTTTCTGCATTAAAATTTATAAACTTATGAGTTTAAAAACTGAATTTATAAGATGTTACAATAACTATGAAGTTGCATCAACATACTTCACTTAAGTCCCAATCTCTAGAATCAAAGCTAACATAAAAGATACAGTACCTTTCCATATTTGTCTTCTCCACATGATGCCACAAATTGAACCCTATAATCATCACAATATTGTAAATTTTTAATCTCAATTAAATGCTATTCTTTAGCTTTATCAGTAATATCAAAAACAAATTGTTCCTTATCTTTGATTAACCACATTATCTTCCACTTTTTTAACAATCCTATAGTAACAAACTTTCAACAAATTTATTCGCTACGGATGTTCATTTTCCAAGTATTTCTTAAACTGAATTTCATACCCAATGTATTTAGTTCCTAATGAAAACCCATTCAATTTATGATTTTTAGCAAAGAGGTCAAAGCATTGATTATCTTTATCACCTATTTCATCAAACCCCACATAAGTAATCAAACCATAAATTATACATAATATCAATTTATTCTAACTTGATTCTTGATGAGTAGAAGTAGTTGAAGACTCAAGAATTGTGTTTTCAAGAGTGTCCTCGATCTCTAAGATTAGGGGTTGCTTCAAGAGTTCAAGATTTTATTGAAACTTTTCTTAAATGCTGTGAATTGATTCCTCCATTATTGTCTTAGGAAAATTCGATTCTTTGACCTCTACTATCAATGACTTCTTACTTTTTTTGTGTCTTCATTTTCTAATTAGAAGAGGATTGCTCCACCAACATCATCAATTACAATGATTTAGGTCTATGATAGCTTCTTGCAATTGATTTCTCCATGATGTTTACCATTACACCAAAAATAAAGATCATGAACATAACTCTTCCCATGCACCTCAAAAATGGTAAAACACTTAAATAGGGTTTCTATCATTGATACTAATTTGTGTAATTGCTCGAGTTAATACCAAAATTCAACCTTCCACGAGGTGTCGAGAACTCGCTCCACCATAAATTGATGCGGTTCAATTCCGATCAAGTAAGAATTAGAATGAAATGCAACGGATCAAAGCAAGAACAAGTAAATGCAAGCTTTGAGAAATGACCACTGAAAATAGTAACTTAAATGAAATTGAAATACGACCGAATTACTAGAAAGGCTATTACGGAAAGAGAATCTTTATTAAGAGTTCCCAAGCTAAGAACTCTAAGAATTACAAAAAATAAATAAATAAATAAAAATAAAAAAATTGAGAGAGAAAATCCAGAGAAGAAGAATGCTCAAATATCCAGAATAATCTTCTCACTTCCCTCCTTCCTCATTAAATGCTATAGCACCATCCTAACAAACTGATAACAAAAAAGCCACGCCATCTTCTAATAACTAATACACGTGTTCCGTATTTTCTTTTTTCATCTCATATGTCATTCATGTCGCTTCATTTGGTGACTCACACAACTCCTCTCTATTTAACTTATATCTCACTCAATTTGAAAAAATAGTTATTATTGGCATGCATTTGGTCTTTAAGAACCTTGCTCGTGCTAATTGTGATTTAATAAAAAGCATGGATAGTTGCTAAGAAATTTTTAGAGTTTGCATTTTGGACAAAAGAATTGTTATCATGGATTATGGGAAGAAGATATCCAAGATAAGCAACTAAAGTCTATTATATGCTTTAAACTTGATGGATGTTTGCATCTAATATGTATTAGGATTATTCCTTCATATCCACTTTTAGGAATTTTTCAACTCATTCTCATTCTCATGTCTTTGTGTATTCATATTTCATTCCATATCCACTTCTAGGTCTTGAGGTTGCTCGCTCCCAATTGCAATATTGTATATGTTTACAAAGGACATCAAACCACAATGATCGCTATTTGCACAATCGATCGCTATGAATATAGAAAAAAAATATAAACGTTGCTATGATACCATGAAGAGAATGTAAATAATATCATTGTATGTCTTATTATAGAGAAATAGAAAAATATTTATTAAGTTACCAAGTCAACTATTTCCTATAATAAAGCTAAGAAATATAGAAATAACCATATATACATGGATTATATTTACTACAAAATAAATCTATAATAATGATAAGATATTTGGTATTAATAGGAAGATAATTACCATTATTGCTCCCTCAAATTGGAGCATCCATATTGAAAATGCCCAACTTAAGTATCATGGTTTGAACACAATCACGTCTAAGAGCCTTAGTAAAAATATCAACCAACTGGTACTAAGTGGAGATTGGTTGAGGCAATAAGAGTTTAGACTGAATATGTTATCGAATGAAATGATAATCAATCTTGATATGCTTAGTCATTCATGAAAAACAAAATTAGCAACAATATGAAGAGCGAACTTGGTTATCATAAAATAAAGAAACAAGAGTAGGATGACGAATGATCAAATCGGAAAGTAATTGCACAAGCCAAACAATCTCACTCACGGTAGATTTCATAGTCCTAAATGTAACCTCGATTGATGAATGAGGAATAACGAACTATTTTTTGGATCACCAAGAAATAAGTGAAGATACCAAAAGCACTATGTAATTGGTGGTGGATTGACATGTAACCGGACAGACCAACCCAATATGTATCACAATATACTCACAATGACAAAGAACTATCGAAGGAAACATGATGCCATATCTAGAAGCATTTTTGAGATAGCAAAGAATCTAGATAGCGAGCATCAAAATATGGTTGTCATGGCATGTTCATGAATAGACTTAGAACATGTATTGTATTGCAAATATCAAGATGAGTGATAGTGAGATATAGTCGATGACTAATAAGAAGTCAATATTAACTGCGATCGGCACAAAGAGGGATCAGCACGAGAGAGGAGTGGTAATCAAGATTGAGTTCATGTTATTGATCCATAGGTGAAAATGATGCTTTGTAACAAGTCAAAACACATTTAGCTAAAATATCAAAAACATATTTATGTTGGTTGAGAACAATACTAGCTAAAGAGCGAGTAAGCTCGAGGCCTAAAAAATATTTAAGCTTTCTAAGATTCTTAATATATATGAAACTAAGAGTCCAAATATTACTTGATCCAAGAAATTTTAGTTGTGTTGGTGCCCTTAATACTCACATAATCGATATAAATAAGAATAATAATAAAAGAACCATAATGAGAATAGGTAAATAAATAATGATTAGATAAGAACTAAAGAAATCCCATAATTAGTAAAGATTGAGTAAACTTTTGATATTAGTTTGGAGATGCCTAATAGAGTTTATAAAAATATTTTTTAAGATGACATACCCACTACTCTTCCTTTTTAGCAAAACCTTAAGAATTTTTTTTTTTTTTTTATGCTTCCTCCTCAAGATCACCATGTAAGAAGGCATTATTGACATATCATAGGTTGAGTTCCTAATGATAGATAGAAGTAATAGTAATAAGATAACAAATGATGACTAATTTGGCAATGAGATTAAATGTATTATGAAAGTCAATGCTTTGATTTGAGTGTATCTTTTTGCCACAAGAC